TGCCATGACTTTACCTCCCTTGGTTATTGAGGTGCTTCTAGCAGACATGCATGTGGACACAGTCACCCTGAGAAGGGAGGATGGAAAGGCAGTGCTGCATCAATGGCCATGCAAGATAGCTCCAGCAGTTCTAAAATGAATGTGCATACAGGTGTGCAGAGATACAAGCCTACCTGGGAGCTTAAAATTCAGAAAATTCTTAATATTCATTGACTGCGAAACACTTCTGGTCTAGTGGTAGATGGTCACTGGGATCTGTCTCCTGAATTTTTATTTAGACCAGGCTGAAACTTAGGAATGGTCCTGTGCAGGGCCAGGAGTTGAACTCAGTGATGCTTGTGAGTCCCTCTCAACTCAGCATATTCTATGATTCTGCGAAACATGAGCTGTCTCTTACCAAGCCAAATAAAACCCAGAGAAGCTGGAATGCCTTGCAAAGCTGGCTTCAATGTTGTTGAGTATACTGAGTACAGTGAGAACACAGAGTATCATTGAGTAGAGCATTTAAGAGGAGGAAAAACAGGCATCAACGAGAACTTTCTGGGAAAATGGCTCAGACTGGGAGGGCTGCAGATGATCTCTGCTGTTAAGCTGAAAGCTGTGCTCCAGGGGCAGTGGGCAGCTGTCTGCTGAGTGACCAAAGCCCTTCCCATATCTGCCTCTATAAGACTGCTAATATGCAAACTGAGAAAAGTCCACAGAGTTTGGGGATGCCCTTGGTAGGAGTACATATGGTCTTAGTACATCACGGAGGCAGTACAGACACTACGGTTGGGGTCAGAGCATGGGCTTCAGCTGTCAGGATTCTATTTTTCCTTCCTGATTCATCCTTTAGTTTGCTTACTTCAGTTTTCCTAGGACTAGAAGTATCCCCTGAGAAGGTGCAGAGAGAAGCACTCTGGAGATATCTTGGATTCCAAATTAGCTCCAAATCTATTAGGCCACAATCAGTTACAATTGACAGGAAAATCCGAAATTTAAATGGTCTCCAGAAGTTGTTGGGAGCCATTAACTGGATATGTCCTGTGCTAGGGATCACAACCAGTGATCTGCAGCCCCTGTTCGAATTATTAAGAGGAGATGCAGATCTGTCCTCCCCAAGATCCCTGACTCCAGAAGCGGAAGAAGCCCTCTCTATTGTAGAGGAGAAAATATCTGATCGGCAAACGAATTGAAGGACGGAGGGACTGCCATCCTCTTTAGTCATCATTAGAAAAAGTAAGCAACCGTTCACCATCCTGGGCCAATTTTCAGTGAATTACAAGGACTTCTACTTATGGGGATGGCTATTCCTACCTCACCAATTCCAAAAAACTATCGTGACAATGGTAGAAATGATTGACAAATTACTTTTTAAGGGGCATACGAGAAGCTTAGAACTCAATGGAAGAGAACCAGATTATGTCTATCTCCCATTGACTTCTGAGCAGCTCGAGCAGCTGCTGCAGACTTCCATTGATTTTCAGATTGCCATCGACGGTTACCTGGGAGAAATAAAATTTCACCTCCCGGCGTGCCAAATTATACAAAGACTAACACAAATTCCAATGAGATTAAAAACTATCCAATTGGAAATTCCCATAAAGGGAGCCAAAACACTCTTTACCAATGAGTCTGGGAGAACAGGAAATACAGTCATAGTTTGGCAAGAAAATGGAAACTAGCAACAGGATATCCACAGAGTACAAGGTTCTCCTCAAATTGTGGAATTATGAGTAATTGTTCGCGCATTTAAAATTTTCAAAAATGAAGCAATCAATATTGTATCTGATTCGGCCTATGTGGTGGGCATAGTGAAAAGAATTGAAAATTCGTACTTAAAAGAAGTCTCAAACAAATGCTTATTCTACTTATTATTATTCTAATTAATATTATTATTCTAATTCATAGCAGAAAATTTGGACATTACATCGTTCATACCTGATCTCATACTGCACTACCAGGTCCTGTGGCGGAGGGAAACCTAATTGCTGATTGTTGACAGGTATGGCTGAAATACCTAATCTGTACTAACAAGCCAAACTCTCTCACGAGTTTTTTCACCAGAATGCACGGTCACTACAAAAGCAATTTGGCCTAAAATTAATCCAAGCTGAAGAGATTTTAAAAGCATGCCCTGATTGTCAGATGATTACTCCATTACTCCCAGAAGGGGCCAATCCTAGGGGATTGCAACCATTAGAGATCTGGCAATCAGACTTCACACATATACCAGAATTTGGAAAACTTAAATATGTACATGTGTCTGTTGACACGTTCTCTAAAATGATTGTGGCCACCGCGCACTCTGGAGAAAAAAGTAGAGATGTTAAAAAATATTTCCTAGGCATTTGCTAGGACGGAACTTCCAAAGCAAATAAAACCAGATAATGGACCCTCCTATGTGTCTACAGATACCAAAAAATTCTTTGATGACTGGGGTATTGACCACACACCGGGGTCCCTCATAATCCCACAGGACAGTGTTGGGAGAAATGAAGAAGAATGGCAGAGATACGAGGCGTGGAGGAAGATTTATAATCCCTAAATGGACATTTACACACTGGACTGGACTTATTATACCTGATGTGACACCTCTCGGATATGACAGTTGTGCCCCAGTTCTCCCCAGTTCACTACTGTGTTGTTATGCTGTTATATGTACCCCCAGTTGTTGTTTTTTAAATTATCCTCCATGTTGTCTTCTCCCTTTCCCCACAGTTTTCCCGCCTTTTCCCTGTTTTCCCGCTCCTCTGCCTGCCATTGGTCAGAGTTTGGTGCAGTGCAGAGGTAGCTGTTATTGGTCCATCCCCCTGGTTACACCCGAACTCCTCCCCTCTTTACCCAGCTGCCCAATCACCTTCTTCCCTAAGTTGTCAGTCTCATGCTCCTCCCTAGCCCAAACTCCACCCTGAAACCTACCCTATATAAGTTGTTGTTCCCCCAATAAACTTTGGCATTGCTTCACCAACCTCCACTGTGTGAAAGACCCTTCTTTGCAGTGCCCGACCCCATTCCCTTCTCCCAGCGGGTCGTGGCAGGACAGGGTATTATAGAACATGCCCACCAAAATATAAAAAACCTGTTGAAAAAAACAAAAAAGGGGGAGTATGGGTATGGCTCCCCAAGAAAGATTAGAAAAGACAATGTACGTTCTAAATTTTTTAAATCTATTGGAGGAATCATTCGGACATGCCTATAAGCATAAGTCCTGTTGAAAAACATTTCAAATCAGAAAATAGGTAGAACACAAGAGAGGCAAAGATATTATATAAAGACCCTCTGATAGTTGGACAGGCCCCTTTCCTCTCATCACCTGGGGGAAAGGGTATGCCTGCATCTCTGCAGATACTGGACCCAAGTGGGTCCTTGCGAGGAGAGTGAGGATATTTCAAGACACAACATGCGGACCGCTAGCACCTACATTATCTCCATTGTCATCGGAATAGTTGTCATTGCACTGAACCCACACCAGCTGTCCCAATCTGGGCATTCCAACAGATAGAGAATACTTGGGTGAAACTGGCACGGGAAACTAATAATGACGTAATATGTCTCTCTATTAATAATGTAAACAACTTGTTCCAGACATAGTATCCCCCTTGACAAGGATTTTAAAAAATATTTTGAATCCCCTTCTTATACAGAGGCAGAGCCTATCGAGTTTGAAACCTTAGGCTCAGTGATCACCAATCGGTGTTTCAGATTCGTATCCCAGTCCACTTCCTGAATCAAAAAGAATGATGTCACCCCTTTTAAAGATCTATACAAGGATACTTCCTTATGGTGCAACACCACCACACCAGAAATAATCACTACGGAAGCAGTAGGGTCCAAACCTAGCATGTTGCCCCAAGGAAAATTCCTCATCTGTGGGGAAAGGGTATGGATCGGGATTCCTTCATACCTCATTGGGGGACCTTGCACAATTAGGCAAGTCACTTTGTTTCACCCACTTAAGTTTAAGTTAATTAATGAAAAACCCGCTACCCTCATTTGGCAAAAACGAGATTTCAATTGGGCAAAAGCAAAATACCCCGCTATAGGGCCAGAAGCTAGACCCTTGACCCCCAGACCACCAGCATGGTATACAACCCCTAAAAGACCAGTCACAGTCACAAGAAAAATTACGACTCAATCATCTCCAAAGAAAGACTGGAGGTTCAACTGTGGCTATGCGATTGAATCCTATGGAAAGGATTCTCTTAATTACCCTATCCTCCAGTCCCCACTTAAATGGCAGAAAGATGCTCCCTCGACTTCCTCAAAAGTTGCTTTAGTTCCCCCAGGCACCTCGCACCCTCCAGTGGGAGTTCTTCCCATTCCTAAAATTCCAGAGGACTGTGACCCCAATATTGATCTCTGGTCTACTACTGATAATTATTTCAGTTCTTTTATTATCGCAGGTATAGGTATATCACGTGCCCTCAACACTCTAACACACATGGGGCGCTGGTTGGCGAAAGAGACTAACGCAACCAGCATCGCCCTGGAAGGCTTATTTAGAGACACGCAGAGATTAAAAGACGTGTCCCTCCAAAATAGGGCCACTATAGATTTTTTGTTGCTACTACATGGCCATGGGTGTCAAGACTTTGAAGGCATGTGTTGTTTTAATTTTTCTGATGACTCAGAGTCCATATCCCATAGTATTAACACCCTACGTAAACTCATTGATGATATTAAATTTTCCCCTAAACTCTCCACTGACGATTTGATAAACTAGGCTCGCCTAATCTTCCTAATTGAGTCAAACAAATAGTGTTAATATGCTCTGGAATTTTGATTACTCTTTTTGTGGTGTTATTAACCATTTGTTGTGTTGTAGCCATATGCAAAAGGTTCATCCCCAAATCCATCTTCTTAACTCTGTCTCAAGAAAACAAAGAAGGGGGAGATGTGGAGGATCAAGAAACAGAATGGCAGCGTTTCCAAGCTTGGAGAGACTTGTATGCCACGACCCGTGGGGGAAGGGAAAGGGATCGGGCACTGCAAGAAGGGCTCGAGACACAGTAGAGATCTCGTGAGGCAATGCCAATTTATTCAAGGAACTCAGGGACTTAAATAGGGTAGGTTTGAGGGGAGGATTCAGAACTGGGGAGGAGCATGGGACTGACAACTCAGGAGAAAGGGCGATTGGATAACTGGGTAAGGAGGGGAGGAGTTTGGGCGTAGCTATGGGAAGGGACCAATGAGAGCTACCTCTGCACTGCACCAAACTCTAACCAATGGCAGGCAGAGGAGCGGGAAAACAGGGAAAAGGCGGGAAAACTGTGAGGGGAAGAGGGAGACAACATGGAGGATAAAATTTTAAAACGACAACTGGGGTACAGTATAACAATACAACAACAAACTGAACACAACTGGGGATAACTGTCCAATTCAGGGTAGTGTCAAATCCGGTGTGATAATAGCAAAGTCCAGTGAAATATTGTCTCATTCAGGGCTGTAGATCTTTCGCCAAGCTTGATATTCTTCCCACTCTGCCCTGTGTTCCCCAACATCTCCCCCTTCTTTGTTTGATTGCGCAGCAACGGTGTTAGCAGTAACAGACGATATCAGCATCTTTCTTAGGAAAAGAATCAAACAAGGTAAAACGGTACATAGTGAAACTAAACCAAAAAGGGAAATGAGACATAAAATAATAAGCTTCCGGGACCAACTGGGTAAATTTGGTATTTTTAGCCAATCGAAGAGGTTATCGAGTCCTTCGCCTTTGTCCTGATGAATTTCCCGGACCAGGCCTTTTAGCTGGTTAATACTTTGGTGAATGGATTCGGCATGGTCCGAAAAATTCATACAGCACATCCCTTCAAATTCCTGGCACCCGTGACCGTGTGCCAGGAGAAGAAAATCGATGGCTGCTCGATTTTGTAAACTCACCTCTTTTAATTTCTGGGTGTCCGCTAGCAGGCCCTCAATCGCTTGGGTTGTTGCGTTCGCTTCCTTGGTCAACCAGCACCCAAGGTGCGTAAGCAGAGAGAGAGCATGTGCTGTCCCTATCCCGGGGATAGGGAAGGACGCACAGAAATTCTTCACCCTGGACCAGATATGAATGTTTGAATCACAGTCCTCTGGGAAGGGCAGAGGAGTGGGCCAATACTGCGGCTTTCCCACATTCATATGTGGTGCAGGGAGGGAATTTTGGAGTCAAATTGGTGAAGGGGTAACTTTAGATTCCGATCGAGTTTTAGGGACGGCGGACTTGGACCCGGGGAATCGAAGGGGTGCTCCCATGGAGAATGAAAGGGACCTTTTGATTCGATTTTTTGAGAGGACGAATTGGTCTTGTAATTGGAATTTCGCCGGGTTGAACAAGGCTAGTTTTCCTATTGTGCAGGGTCCTCCCTCAGGGTAGGCTCTAATGCCTGGTCATGCCCGATCCCCGCACAATAGGAAATATCCTTTTGGGAGTTTCATGTTCCTGGGAACATGCTCTGTAGGGATAGTGGTAACAATCGAGCCATTGCACCACGGCGAGGTGGTTCCACGGTAAAGGGGTTTGTTCGCCGTGACATTATGGGGTGTAAACAAAACGGGTTGTGTATATCGGTGAAAAATAACACAAGCAGTAGTGGGGAGTGAACCTAACAAATCAATTTCCTGAAAGGGGATGTCAATGAAATTAAGTGCTGCGATTGTCTGGGCAAGGTTAGGGGAGTTGAGTGGGATGGCTCCCTTGTTCCGTGTTTGGGACACGAAGGAGTTCCATTCCATGGGGGTGATGGGAACTCCTACGAGGCAGGTGCGGAATGGACTCCCTGCGCTGGCCAAGGCTAGGCACAAGGTGTCCGTGCCAGTAGCCTTAGCCAGCGTTACCCACAGGTTCTCCCCAGGCTGGCTCATCCACTCCCACAGGGGTATAGCGTTGCCAAGAGGGACGAGTCCAAAGATGATAATGCTGGAGATGACGAAGAAGCGAGGTGGGAACATGTCGGTTTCAATGCCGCTCAGTCTCGATGAATCTTCACTCTCCTGGCCGGGACCCACTTTGGCCCGTCCGAACCTGAAATACACGCGTAGCCCTTCCCCCATGTTATTAAGGGGAAAGGGCCCGTCCATGTCTCGGTCAGCGGGTCCCGGTACATGATTTTTGCTTTTTGAGAGGTTGAACTTGTGGAGCTCGCTCTGAAGTGGCGATCTGCTGGACTTCTGTCTGTGTGGGTGTCTTGTTCCTCCAGCATATTCAAAAAATTTAAAACATACATAATTTTGTCTAATTTTTCTTGGGGGGACAGGCCAATACTCCCCCTTTTTTGTTTTTTCAGCAAATTTTTAATGTTTTGGTGGGCACGCTCCACTATACCCTGCCCTGTGGGATTGTGAGGGATCCCGGTGGTATGGTGTACTCCCCACTGTTCAAAGAACCGTTTCGTGTCCGCAGACACATAGGAGGGCCCGTTGTCTGTTTTTATTTGTTTCGGAACGCCCATCCTCGCGAATGCGGACAGAAAGTGTCTTTTTACATCACGGCTTTTCTCACCAGTATGCGCGGTGGCTACGATCATCTTTGAAAAGGTATCAATAGACACATGCACATATTTTAGTTTACCAAATTCAGGGATATGCGTAACATCTGATTGCCAGATTTCTAATGCTGAAAGTCCCCTTGGGTTGGTCCCCTCCGGGACGATAGGCGTGACAATCTGACAATCAGGGCACGTTTTCAAAATTTCCCTCGCTTGTGACAATTTGAGGCCAAATTGTTTTTGCAGCGATCGCGCATTCTGGTGGAAAAATTCGTGAGAAATTTTTGCTTGTTGGTACAAATTGGGAGTAATCACCATTCCTGCCAGATGGTCGGCAAGCTGGTTTCCCTCCGCCACAGGGCCAGGTAGAGCGGTGTGTGACCTGGTGTGGACAATGAAAAAGCCGAATTGTCTGTTCTGGATTAAAAATAATAATTTGGTCAGTAATTCAAATAAACTCCGATTAGATACGTCTTTTAGGTAAGAATTTTCAATACGCTTGACCACACCAACGACATAGGCCGAATCTGAGATTATATTAATTGGTTCACCACTAAAAATTTGGAAAGCTCGCACAACTGCTGAAAGTTCCACAATTTGGGGAGAACCTTTTACCTTATGTATGTCATATTGCCAATCGTTTTTTTGTCGCCAAATTATCACCGCATTGCCAGTTCTCCCAGAGCCATCGGTAAATATAGTTTTGGCGTTTTTGATGGGTAGATCTGATTGAACAATTTTTAGCTTTAATGGAATTTTAATCAGCCTCTGAATAAATGGGCACGCCAGGAGGTGTAGCCGGATTTCTCCCGGGTAGCCTCCGATGGCAATTTGAAAATCAATGGAGGTTTGCAGCAGTTGGTCTAGATGTTCAGAAGTCAGCGGGAGGTAAATAAAATCTGGTTCCTCACCGCTGAGTTCTAAACATCTAGTGCGGCCTTTGAATACTACCTTGCCAATCATTTCTGAGACGGTGGTGATCGTCTTGCCAAATTGGTGCGGGAGGAACATCCACTCCCACAGACAGAAGTCTTTTTGATCGCTAGTGAATTGGCCTAGAAGGCCAAGAGGCTGTCTTTCTTCTCTGATAACTACTAAGGCGGATGGCAGTCCCTCCATCCTCCTATATGACTGTCTTTCCGCTACTTTCTTTTCAGCAGTGGATAGGGTTGCAATCGCTTCTAATGTTAAATAGCGAGGGGAGGACAGGTCAGCGTCTCCGCGAAGCAGCTCAAACAGTGGGTGCAGATCCCCGGTTGTGATCCCCAGCACAGGTCGGATCCAATTGATCGCACCCAGTAGCTTTTGGAGGTCATTTAATGTTTGGACTCTCTTGTCAATTTCAATTGCCTGAGGCCTGATAGTTCTTTCTGTAATTTTGAGTCCAAGATACCTCCAAGGTGCTTCCCTTTGAACCTTCTCAGGGGATATTTCCAATCCTTTATCTTTTAGAGCCAGAATTGTTGAATTTAATGTTTTATCTACAGCCAATTGGGATTTGGCACAAATCAAAACATCATCCATGTAATGGAAGATGATTGATTGTGGATGCTTTTGCCGAATTGGACGCAACACCTCTGCCACGTACATTTGACAGAGGGTTGGGGAATTTTTCATCCCCTGGGGAAGTACCTTCCACTGGAACCTGCGGTGAGGTTCGCAAGCGTTGATGGCAGGGACAGAAAATGCAAATCGAACCGAATCAGCCGAATTTAAATATATCTGGAAAAAACAGTCCTTGATATCAATGACCACTAGGGGCCATTCAGCAGGGAGCATAGATGGTGACGGCATTCCCTGCTGGAGGGCTCCCATTGGTTCCAGGACTTCATTTACTTTTCGCAGGTCCTGAAGAAATCTCCAGGAACCTGAGGATTTTTGAATGACAAACACTGGAGTGTTCCAGGGACTGGTGGAAGACTCCAGGTGTCCTTTGGCCAATTCCTGATTCACTAAATCGTTTAGAATTTGCAGCTTTTTGCGAGGTAGGGGCCACTGATCAACCCAAACTGGCACATCAGTCTTCCAGCTCAGTTTGGGGAGCTGCTTCACTTCAGTGACCCCACCTAAAAATTTTCTTCTGGAGACAGGGTTCTCAAAGAGAGCTCCCACTGCTCCATCGCGTCCCGTCCCCACAATGTAATTGGTATGTTTAAAATGTAAGGTTGGAGGGACGCTGGTCTGCCCTCCGGCCCGTAAACAGTAAGTACCTCCTTGCTCCTGACCGGGTACTGTGTTCCCCCCACGCCGCTAACTTGCGCGTAGGCGGTCTGTGCAGGCCATCCGTGCGGCCAATCTTTGGAGGCAACTATGGTAACGTCCGCTCCCGTGTCCAAGAGACCCTCTACTTTGACCCGCTGCGGATGTCTGGGCTGCGAATAATAAATTAAACAGGTTAACAGAGGGCGGGAGGATTCAACGGTGGTGGACCATAAGATTTCTTTGTTGTCCTTCTTCCTCTGCTCCTCGTCAACAGACAGCACACGCAGCAAGTCATCCATAGAGATCATCTTGGCCACGGGAAAGCGGTCCTCCAGCTGCACAGGGGGGGTATAAACATACAGACAAACAGCGATGTTAGTGCTTGTAAGCCCAGTCAGGAGAGTGGGTACTACCATAACTCCCTTATCCACTGCCGAAAAGTGAGAGGTAACTAAATAAGTAGCATCAGGGTCAACCGCTTTTGACGGCTCGACCCTGGCAAGCTGTTCGTAAGAGCTAAGGTGAAGGGAGGGGTGCACGACCGACAGAATAACCCAGGGGAGTGGAAAGCATTGACTCGCCACCGGGACCGGGTCAGGGAGCGGCCGCCGAGTTACGGGGTAGCTGGGCGCGATGGCTGGCGCAGAATCGAGCGCACGTGGGGGGCAACTTGTGTCATCGCGCTCCCCCGAGCGCTCTGCTCCTCGTTTCCCGACGGCCCACACTCACATGACCGGAGGTCCGGTAGTGACGAGAAGGTCACCCTTTTTCGTAACCGAGGTGAACGGCGCGGAGGGAGAGGCTCACCGTTGATGTTGGTAAGGGACCGGCAGCTGGAAGTCCAGTGCCGTCCCTTCCCGCACCTGCGACAAAGAGTGTTTGGTAAATCAGGTGTTGATTGGGACAACTTTGGGCAGTGTTTCTTGAAATGTCCCTTTTCCCCACACTCAAAGCAATGGTTTGGACCTGAAAATGCGGCAGCCATTAGACGCGCCTTATGGGAGTTTGATCCGATGTTTTTACACGCTTCAATCATATCCAATAGAGTGGGATCCTTCAAAAGCTTTAGCGCTTTTTGGCAGTCCTCGTTAGCCTTTTCGATGACCAATTTCCTAAACAAAATTTCTTGGCATTCTTTTTGAGGGACCTGCCTGGCAATAGCCTCTTTTAACCGGGTTATAAAATCAGTAAACGGTTCTTTTACGCCTTGGTTGATCATTGTAAAGGAGGGGGTCGGCACGTATGCGTCGGCCACCTTCTTTAAGGCGTCTAATGCCAATTCTTTTGACTTGTCTAGCAATTTAGGATCTAATCTTGCTTGATCCCCTCTACGCGTGTAATCGCCCTCACCATAAAGCATGTCTACTGCCTGCCGTGGGGGGATCCCTCGCCTCTCCATCCGGTCGTTCACCCAGGTTACAATCCGCTTCTTCCACTCTGCCTCGAAAACCGAGGCCTGCACAGTCGTTAGCAACCCTCCCATCACACCCCGTATGTCAAAAGGGATCAGTGTATACGCCAGGAAAAATGACTCTAGTAGTCCGAGGGTAAAGGGGGCGCCCAACCCGTACTCCACTATAGCTTTTTTAATGTCTTTTAACATAGGGTACGAGATTGGGCGCCACTCCGGTGGCTTGCCCTCTTCGTAGTAAACTGGGAAGGCCTTTAAAAACTCCGCATCCTTAGCGGATGCCGCCTCTTCCCGGAATTCCCTCCAGATGTCTGGAGCGTCGGAGGGTTCATCCGGGGAGTACGGTGCCCAATGGTAGTCAGCGGGAGGGTGCCGGCGGGCGGAGTAGGCCTCGGTGGCCTGGGCCTTATGGGCGCGGCCATCTTGCCGGATGTTGTCTCAGGCCTTTGCCCTTGCCCCGCCCACTGTACCCCGCGACTTCCGGGAGGGAGAGGGTTCCGGGGAGGAGTCCGGAGTGGCGGAAGAGGGCGTGGAGGAAGGCGTGTCTAGGGAGGGGCTCCGCGTGCGCGTATATGGGGGCGGAGACGGCGCTGTGGGTGGAACCACAAGGGCCCGCCTCCGCTTTTCCCGCTTCGATCTTTCCCGTGCGTCCCGGGGCCCCGCCTCCTCGACGCCATTTCGTGATCGCCGCGATCCTCGTCTTCGCCCCCTCCCGCCATCTTGTGATTCACTGTCCGTGTCCCTCCCGCCGTTTTGTGTGTTAGAGCTGGTGTTCCTCTTCCCTCTCCCGGTGTCCTTGTCCGAATGCAAAGTGTCCGTGTCCGTGTGTTTAATGTCCTTGTCCATGTCTTTGTCCGTGTATGATTTATTTTCTTCTGTGGACTTGGAGGATACAGCTTCTTGGATGTTACTGCTGTCATTCTTGTTCATCATCTGGTGCTGAAGCACCATCAGAACAAGCCTCCAGGCAATAAGCGCCTCTTTAGCAAGCCGGTCACCCTGGCCGTTCTCTCGCCATAGTTGAAATCCGATGGCTTGCCATTTGTCGAATGTGGTGTTATCGTTAACCTGATGACCGTGACGGTCAAGCCATCTGGCGAGGGCTTTCGCCGATTTTTTATCCAAAGGGTGACCGTGCTCTATAACAAAATCCTTGAGGCGGCGATAAACATATTTTTGGGAGGTGGAGAGTGTGAGTCCCATGCTGTTAATTGGGTTTCTCAACACTCCCAGGTGCTATTCCTCCCTTTTCAATTTAAGTTGCTGGGGTAAGGTGTGGGGTAGAGGTGTCGTGAATGTCCCCTGCAGCTCACCTGTTCCGGCGTGCAACCCGTGCGGCTTGAGGAGCCCAAGCTGTCAGCTTTGCAGGGGAGGGCCGGCGGAGCAATCCCCTCTCCTGGGGATGCCTGAGCTCAAGCGACGGCACAGGAGTTCCCTCGATGCGAGAGACCTCTACTGTGCCCCACGTTGGGCGCCACTTGCCACGACCCGTGGGGGAAGGGAAAGGGATCGGGCACTGCAAGAAGGGCTCGAGACACAGTAGAGATCTCGTGAGGCAATGCCAATTTATTCAAGGAACTCAGGGACTTAAATAGGGTAGGTTTGAGGGGAGGATTCAGAACTGGGGAGGAGCATGGGACTGACAACTCAGGAGAAAGGGCGATTGGATAACTGGGTAAGGAGGGGAGGAGTTTGGGCGTAGCTATGGGAAGGGACCAATGAGAGCTACCTCTGCACTGCACCAAACTCTAACCAATGGCAGGCAGAGGAGCGGGAAAACAGGGAAAAGGCGGGAAAACTGTGAGGGGAAGAGGGAGACAACATGGAGGATAAAATTTTAAAACGACAACTGGGGTACAAATAACAGTATAACAATACAACAACAAACTGAACACAACTGGGGATAACTGTCCAATTCAGGGTAGTGTCAAATCCGGTGTGATAATAGCAAAGTCCAGTGAAATATTGTCTCATTCAGGGCTGTAGATCTTTCGCCAAGCTTGATATTCTTCCCACTCTGCCCTGTGTTCCCCAACACTTGTATGCTTGAGGAAAACAACAACTTATGGACTTCCATGTTTTTACCCCAGTTCTGAACACAGTTTAATGTACCCATACATATATTTTTGTACTAACCCCCTTGATTTGTATTACCCCAGACTTGTCTGAACTTGTCCCCAGTTGTTTCCCGCCAAAAGTTGTTTACTTCCTTGCTCTCTCCTGCTTTCCCGCTCATCCCACACTGATTGGTCAAAAAATGCTGCAGTGCCGAGTGAGCTTCCATTGGTCCCAAGCACCTGACTCCTCCCAGGTTCCTCCCTCCTTCTCCCTACTCCCCAGTCCTGTTGTACCCTGAGATGTCCATCCTATGCTCCGCCCCGGTTATCGGACCTCCCTCACCTGAACCCTATATAAGTTCTCGTTCCTCTTAATAAAGTGGCCTTTGCACCCCAACCTTCCACCTTGTCGGACCCCTCTGTGCAGTGTCGCGTCCCTATTTCCTTCCGCACCGGGCCGTGGTAAATAACCACTAAAAACCCCAAACTACGTGATTTAAATAAAAGCATAATAAAAATTCTAAGTATGCATGGGTAAGGAATGACTAAAGTGGCCACTTATGTATGAACGTGAAAGCTCTATGAATGAGAGAAGTTGTGTGAACATGACTTGGAAATACTTTGTGCTTCGTGTGCCTTGAGCAAATTACACTTGCATAACACAACACTCGTTCTCTAAGGGCCCTTTCCTTGAAATGGAGTTGAATTTCTACCAATTACATTGGGGAAGTGGAAGTCGATGTTCAACCCAGTTGTGCTGAAGCCCTAAGATCATAAAGTTGTTGTTTATCCCAAATACATGTTGCCGTGGAATTTAAGTGCTGAAAATATCTCCTGGAGCAGTTAATTAGGGGTGAGATAAGAAAGGGTTTATTTTGCCAAGGCTCAGATGTTACAAGACGCATGCCCCGGCTGTGCCTGAGATGTTACATTTTATAATACCATCCATCCAATCCCAGATGTGTCCACCCTGTGGACTTTACTCTGGACTGCCCCGGGTCCACCCCCTGAGAATTGAGTCGGGGGGCTCTTGGGACCCCCTGTTCATCCCATCTTCCTCTCCCTCAGAGCACAAAGGGTACATAGTTACCTAATTCTTGACCGTATTCTGTGGTTTAGGCCCTGATATGCTGTTCTGCCAACAATCTAGGCCTTGCCTTGACAAAAGACTAAACATTTCTGCTGTATTGAGGGGTATGAGTGATATAGGGAACATAGAATGGGGTAAGAGGGTTAAGGAATGTGTAAACAAGGGTGCTACAGGGAAAGGGACAAGGGACAAGGGGGGGGGGATTGCTGCTTTTAAAATCTACTTATAAAACTTAAAAGGCTTACCGATATTAGAAAAATAAACAAACATTAGGGGCTTAAGGCATCATACACATAAAACCTTAGGTAGAAAGTCCTAAGTGAACTTGCGTATTACAAATTCTAAAGGTTGCACTGTTTATAGAGTTATAAAAGTTGAACTGTTAGTAAAGTTATATGAACAATTTCAAGAAAGGCCTTATCATGTTAGGCCCTGATTACACAGATGGTTAAAATAAGTTTAAGAAAAAAGTTAATAATTGTTATGTTGCTTGTCGTAATGTTAAAAATTGTTCTACCACTTGTAATAAAAAAGAAAGGGGGATATGTAGGGGTCGGGTTTCAGGAAAGGTGCTGAACAGCACCCTGGGAGATGTAGTTTCCCAAGCAGTCTATCACATGGGCAGTGAGATCCCCATGGTGATTGGTTGTTAAGGTCACATGGTGTGACGTGTTAACATATATCTAAGCTGTTGTCTCATTTGAATAAAGAGGATTTGGCAGTGAACCCTCAACCATCTAGCTGGTTCTGTATAATTTATTTACTTATTATATTAATAAGCAATAGGGGCACTGAACTGGGGAGTATCATTCCTGAAATATGACACGATATTATCAGCAGAAGTCCTTCGTCATGAGTATATGAGCTCTGCATGTGATAAAGGTGTAATTTCACATTATTGATATTACTACATCACTAATAGTAATGCAATTATTATTGTTATTATTGTTATCAATGTTATAATAATATAATAATAATATTAATATAATGATATAATATTGACTTTAAACAGACTATTATAAATAAAAAAAAATTGAACATGTGGGTTTGTAGCTGCTAGTCTTCTGTAAAATATGCCATGGCATGTTTTTATCAATGAATTATCAGTCCCTGTTTGGGTGAGTATGATATTAACACTGGACATACCAAACCAAAACTTTTAATTCTGGCCAGGCAACTAAGACAAATAAGGAATGGCCGAGCAGCTCTAAAATAGGTCACCCTTGTCATAATCTCTGCTCTTGTTCAAAATAATTTGTTCTTTCAGTCAATGTGTAGGAGTAGAAAAGACTTTATGTAATGAAGCTCAGCACAGTGAGTTTAAGTCCCTTTGAAAAGCCTCTGATTTATTTATCACTCTCCCAACCCTTGCTAGTCCTCACAGCAGGCAACTGTGGGAGTGAGTGGGATCAGACTAGACAAGTCATCACCGGCCACTGCAGGAAACAAGTGGCACTGGCTTCAGGATCCGCTGACCTGTGCATGAGGACAACTCTCTGTTGAGATGCTGTGTGCTTTAGCTCAGCTATTAGACTGCTTCCTTGGGCAGCTGGCTGCTTATATCCCTAGTATTCTTGTAATAATGGTGGTGTCACAGTTATTTCAGAAATTGCAGTACGTGCAGTGGTTGAGGCAGGGTCAGTTTTAGCATGATCTCCTCTGTTGGTCAACACTTTACTCATATCTTTGAGAGATTTAGTGAGAGCATGAGACGGCCTTGTATGAACTTCAGTGCAGAATGACTCTCTTGATAGCCATGGAGAAGGATAATTACTGTGGGTTAAAGCTTGAAATACAAGCATGAAATCATCTCCACAGAGAGAGCAGACATGGTCATGTTCTTCTAAAATGTATTGAGACTCACAAAAATATCAACAGGAGTGAGGTTATTTTGGTTAGCAGAGAAAAAAAGAGTTGACTTGAGAAATGTGTTGTGGGATGTAATTGAAGGAAGAAATTTGGCTTACAGTTGTTGGCAGGAATTAAATATATTTGGTTCAAATACTTTTCAATCAAAAAATACAGAATATTTTGTTGCCAACAGAGTAAACCAAAATTGATGGAAACTGGCACGGAGTCTAGGATGGGAAAAAGCACAAAGAAAATAATCATAAGGAAGTCTAGGGGCGTTGCCTAGACACCACCAACGTGAAAGCAGGAGAAGTTGCTAAAGAGAAGGGGAACTTGCCCTCATGCTGGATGAAAGTAGAAGAAAAAACATGTCTCAAACCCCATCTTGTTCCAGAATGGTAAAATACTACAGTTAGATTTATCAAAAATATCAACCTTCCTCATCACTCAAAAATTACTCTGAGTATATTTGATTTTAAAATATCCTTCCATTTATAGTTCTGGGATTTTTGGCTGAACATTGTGATGACTAACAAGAATTATGCAATTTACCCAGGGAAATTAAAAGCTTCTATGAAAATCATGCAAAGTTTTGCTGCACTCATAAATACTGCTTAACACCAACCTGTCTTTTTGATTGAGTTTCGTTTAAACTGATGGAACATGGAAATATAAATAATTTTCTTGTAAAAAATCAAAGTGTATATAAAATGTACAGTGTAATAAAGATAATGTTAGTGCAAATTACATGACATTCCTATGGCTGTGAGTATTTAAGTCCATGTCAATGAATGTCAGCTATGTCACACTTACCAAGATAGAAGGATGTAGGTAGTTGTAGTAAAATCAGATGATTTTACTACAAGTAAACATCTCACCAACACATTTTCGCATGAAATCTAAGATATTTAATCTACTTACCACATGTCAAACAACTTTTCACCGAAACTATCACTCCAAAAAATGTTGATGGTTGATTTCTCCAGTTTTGTGGAGGCCACTGATATGGTGACCCTTTTCATCTGTTTCCTACAGAAGGACATGCAGGACATAACCAAAGGCAGTCAATAGCCTCCTCTGTTAAGGAAGAAGCAAAATATCCTAATTACCACCCTTAAGCAGTGCTAGGACAGCTCAGGTAACCTTAACTCCCAGTGCAAAGTACAGCAGGGAGGGCTACGTTACTTTTTCCTACCTGGCAGTGAATTTCTAAAGCTATGATGACGGAGAACATTTGTGTATTCCAGCAGAAAATTACTCATAAACTCACGCATTGTTTTAACACATCTTTATCATTTGATCTAAATTCTATTTAGAAAATTTGTAGATGACTGGATTTGTCATTTTTATGGCTTATTTATGCAGTCCCAAATGACTTGATGTCAAGTGGTGGTCCACATATTTATTGTTATCTTCCTATGCGTAACAAGACAGGGTTGTCTTGTTCTGCATATTCACTAAGGAAAATGTTTCCTGCATTAATGTGTCATCATATATTAATTCAGATGAATGCTTGAAGATGTCTAAGAAGGGTTCATCAGCTGCAACGAGGGAGGAGGCACAGAAAAATTCACTAGAAATTCCTTCAGAATATTGCTAACTTTTATTGTACCCCAGCTTGGCTTAACCCTGAAGTGCAGGTTGACCTCAATTCAGCTAAAAGAAATGTCATTTTGACTTATTTCAAACAGGCATCATCCTGCCTACTGCCCATATCCAGGCAGGCATGCAGTCTGGAGATCTCGGTGGATGGCAGGTTATTTAGGTCTGTGCAAGGAAGCAGCCCAGTAAACAATCCCATGTGAGTTCTAATTACATGAGCTGCAAAGTGGTGGTAATGATGGCTGTGGACAGCAGGCTTTCTCAGCATGCAACAGTCCACTTTCATTAAACAAGGAAAACCTGCAGCCTTGTCTACACATTACTGTTAATCTCAGTCAAGTGTCGCAGGGCTATTTCAGGTGGGAAAAATGTGGATGTGGGGTCCTGTTGCAAAATTACTTCTGTAGCAATGAATTTACTAATATACAGACTAGGCTCGAAAATCATTCTATAGATTCTATAGATCCCTCTCCTGAAGCACTTGGCACCATATTAAAAAGAGCATCCAGCAGTCCTCTGAAGAATCCTTAGGGTTCTCATTCAAGAAGAACAAGGACTGGTTTGATGAAAACAATCAAGAGATCCCGGAATTGCTGAGGAAGAAGAGAACTGCTCATCAAGCACACCTTGCAATGCCTTCCTGTCACGTAAGAAAAGCAGCCTTTCATCTTGCATGCAGCAAGCTCCAACAGAAACTCCGTGACATCCAGAACAAGTGGTGGATCAATCTAGATGAAAAAACTCAATTATGCGTAGATACGGGTGATCACAGAGGATTCTATGAGGCCCTGAAAACAGCATATGGGCCTACATAGCAGGTCCAAAGCCCTCTACTCAGCACAGATGGTCAAACACTTCTGACAGACAAAACCTCCATTCTGAATCGATGGTCTGAACACTTTCAGACTCTCTTCAGTACCAACCGTGTAGTTCAAGACTCAGCAATTCAGTCTATCACACAACAACCGGTGAAATACGAATTGGATACTGCCCCCACTTTGGGAGAAACTCTCAAGGCCATACAGCAGGTGAAAATCAGCAAGGCAGCTGGGGTTGATGGAATTCCACCTGAAATCTGGAAGCATGGGGGCCAAGCACTCCATGCTAAATTTCACGAGTTTGTGGTGCGCTGTTGGGAACTAGGCCAACTACCATCAGACCTTGAATAAGAAGAAAGGAGATAAATCAGACTGTTCAAATTACCGTGGTATTACTCTGCTCTCCATTGCTGGCAAAATCCTGGCAAGAATACTCTTGAACAGACTAATACCCGCTATAGCAGAAGGAATTCTACCTGACAGCCAATGTGGTTTCAGAGCCAACAGGAGCACCACAGACATGGTATTTGTTCTCAGACAACTGCAAGAGAAGTGTAGGGAACAGAACAAAGGTCTCTATGTAACCTTTGTCGACTTCACCAAGGCTTTCGATACTGTGAGCAGAAAAGGTCTGTGGCAGATTTTGGAACGTTTAGGTTGTCCCCCCAAGTTCCTTAAAATGATCATCTCACTCCATGAGGATCAGCACGGCCAAGTCAGACATGGCAATGCACTTTCTGAGCCCTTTCTAATAAC